TTTTCTGGTAGACTCTGATACACTTGACACCATTCATGTCACATTCCTGGAAGATACAGATGGATTTATTAATCTCCCTCAGTACAGACTAAAAGGAAAACGATCTTTTACAGCTACTTTTCAGGCTACGAGCCAGCAGCACTCAGGAGTGAGAAAATAGGACTGAACTCACCACCACCAACTGTCCATCCACTAGTTTCCGTGTTATTATGGTCTTCTTGCCATCCCATCCCTGCTCCTGAATCAATGACCCATCATCCTTTAAGCTGACAAGGGTCTGAAAAGAAGAACCCAGACATGAATATTTTACCCACATTTTATGGAGAATGAGGCTTCCTAACACCTTATTCCAAAGCAAAAATTCCCACCTCAACTCATTCAACAGTAATTTTGCCGTTGACATCTACAAAGCCAGGTTATTATCTTAACTGTTTTACTGATCTGCTTCCTACAGTAAGAAAGTAAGAAAGCTCACTGCTTTCTCACTCACTGCCCTGACACATTCCTGCACCAGGCAGACCTCTGACAGCATGCACAATTCCAGTGAACAAAAGCAGATGTTCTCTGTTCATCTCTTTGTACATGGGCTTCGAGCCTTTTTATAATGCTTATCTGATCTTGCAACAATAGATGAACTGCCAGTGTGTGGCTGGGGGGAGGGGGACACAGAGCAGTCACACAAGGATATGAGAGAAATGTATTTGTGGGCTTTTGTGTTTAATCTCTTTTTGGATCAATATTCTCCCTACTCTGAGCAGGGAACAGCTCTTTGCCTTCTAAAACTGGAGATAAGGGACTGTGATTCACATGTATGCCTTGAGTATCTGCTACCCCACTGCTCACTGAACCAGGCTCTCTTGTGCAAACACCAGACTGAGCAGAAAGGTTAACCCTAGGGCTGGATTGCCTCTGAATAAACACCAATGGGATTTTTTGCACAGGCTACAAATGAAGTGGCATTTGGCTTTCACATAGATTTAGAGGTCTGTTAGTTTTACTAACACAATGCTTCTGCTACAAATTGAAAACAACAAAATGCACGAGACATTATTAGTTTCAGAGTTTTCCGTCTTTGGAAGTTGCTTAATCTGGGGGAAAAAAGGAATTTATTTCAATGAGACTTACAGTGACAGCTGTTCATCAAATAAAGCATTGCTAGTATGGATGTCAAAACTGATTTTTAAATGGCATCTCCATGTGTTAAACACCCAAAGAACTGTGTTTTTCCAGTAGGAAACTCGTATACTGACCTGAGTTTTCCTGCCATCTAATGTATTTTCCTCAAACTTCTCACCAAGCTTGAAGCTGAACTGCGAAGTCTTGAAGGTGCTTTCTGTTTTTACAGTGACTGTGTCCCCATCCTTAATGATATAAACATCTGGTTTGGCCACACTTCCCATTTTTCTCATGGCCATACCCACACCTGCAAAGGGAAAGGCACAGAGTGTCACAAAGTCAGTTAAACCCTACAGCTTAGGGCCACACAAGAATTTAAATACCTAATTCCCATTTAATTAGGCACTTGAGTACACTTGAGACTCAAAGCTCAAGAGCCACAAAGAGAGAGGATGTTTTAAATTACCCACTGATGAGGAAAGAAAAAAGCTTATTTGAAGGGTTATTCTTTGGGCTCCTCGGGGAGCTAAACTTAAAGCTGTTTTGCCCTCTAGAGGGCTCACAGATGTCCCAAAACTCAGCATTGAATTTTTACAAACAGAAATAAACAATAAACAGGAAAACAAACACCGAAGGTACAAACACTTTAAAAATTCTACAGATTATTTTTAATTGACAGATTAATCCGCCTGCGTATTTATTTCAACTTACTCAAAAAAAACACTCTCCATCACTCTGTACACAACTGTAAATATGCCATTTTTAATCAAAGTTCATCTTCTACATCCTGCATCCGAAGTTTGGACTTGAGAATTAGAAAACAGCTATCATGCAAAATGGTGCTCACAGGCAATTTACACATCAATAAAAAGGGACCATGAGAGAAGTGAGTTTTGTGAATGACTGAAAATTCATCATCTGGAGACAGCAGCCCTGAAAACTCTTCAGCAAAAGAGATTCACCCTGCCTCAGCCCTGCGTGCACTGCTTGAGTCTTTTTGATCTGAAGGATGAAGATACGAGTAAGCGAGTAGTCAGGCACCAAAGATGAATCCTCCAAATTGGAAGCTGCAGATCTGAACCAAGAATTGATAAGCAACCAAACATAGCAGAAAGTGCCACCAGGTCCATGACTGACTGGGCTCTGCAGCTGATGTAGGGAGAAACTGCTGTCACATTAGAGCACAGCACTCCCCTGGAGTGTGCAGGATACTTGGGTGAGGGCAGAACCCACCAGGCAAATAATACATCTTCCTTGGGAGGTGAAAATAACCAAGTACTTCCCAACAGCTGCTTCTCCAGACTCAACTGAGATTCCAGGATTGAGCCTTAAACCTGAGACTATTCCAAAAACCAGACCTCCTCAGTCCAGCTCTTCTGACCAGAACTGGCAATTACTGTGACAGTAACCCCCACCCAGCCTTTTGCTGTTGTCCAGTCCAGAGTAATCAGGGAGCATCTGATCAGCTACGTCTTGGGATAGACCTAATCAGAGATGAGCCATGTACGTTTTCCATATGGCAAGGAGCGAAATTCAAGCTTCTTTATCTTCAAATACTCTTTAATACAGACTGAGCAGAAACCGCAGGTTCTCATTCATGGTGCATCAATAGGATGAAAGCAGAGAGCTTCCTAAGTAGCCAGCGAGGGTGAGATCCAGTAAAGGACTGGCTCCTGAACTGTGACTTAAGAGTAAACTTAATTGCAGAAATTGTAATTAAAAAAAGGAAAAGTGACTGGTTTAAGATTGTGATCTAAAAACAAACAACAGTTGCTGCCTACACATGGGAGGTGCTCTGCAGTTGCAGCACTTAATTTCTACTTTGAAGTTGCAACTCAGCAAATGCCAAGCCCTGGTTATTAGACGTGAGCACCACTGCATCCTAAGCCATGGCTGACTGAGCTGAGCTTAAAATTCTTGAACTTCCTCCAGAGTGTCCCAGAGGGCTCAGTTCAGAAAGCTTCCTCACATCCCAGCTATCACATATTGACAGGCTTCTCACAAAACACAATTACAGCGACCACCCTCTGTAGTGCAAACGTGGCAACGCCCTTCGTATTTCACGTGGAAAGCACAAGACCCAAAATCCTGCCTCTCCTCCCTCTAAAGACTTTCAAGGCCACATCTTCCGCCTAGAGAAAATATCCTAGCTTTCAGCAGTGAGTAAATTGCAGAAAATAATAGCTCGTGGGCTATTCAGACACTGCAAAGCTGTCAATCACTTGCTGCCCAGGATGCTTGGAGGGAAGTGGTAAATCTGAACGGTCAGAGGAGGCTCCTGCAGTTAGTTAGGTCTGTTCTTGATCTGGTAACTTTGTGTTACAAAATGTGGGGCAGCGTGGAAGCGGGGATAAACAGCCAGGGCTGTTTCCCTGAGATAAAGGTGCTGCCCGCTGGAGAACTGCGAACAGCCTCTGGCAGCTCAGGCAGCTGTCGGCTACCCACGGACAGCCGATGCAGTTTGGCTTTCTCGTCCGGAGACACCCACAGAAGGTGCCTTCACGGGGAAGCAGCCCAGGCCTGTGTGAGGGGCTCAGCTCCCGGCCGGAGCGCGGCCCCGCCACCCGCTCCCGCTCCCGCTCCCCGCGCCGGTCCCACCGCCCCGGGCTTCCCGGCTTCCCGCCCCGGGGCATTACCCGGAGAGGGAGGAGCGAACGGGTTTAACCGCAGCCGGGCT